AGCTTCCGAGGAAGCACACAGTGCAAGCTGCGGATTTCACGCGCTCAAACACTCAAACTGACAAGATCTTTCACTGTCTATATCCCGGTACTCATTTCCACCTGGGTGAAGTGAGGAAAATTTGTGCAAAGTGCCTTTCCCAAGGACACAACGTCGGGCCCCTGACGGGATTCGAACCCACGACCTTACGGTTGCGAATCCGAGAGCCTAACCACTAGGCCACCGACGCCACTCAGCATAGAGGCCCTCATTAATTCTTTTTTCCATAGTATGGTGAGGTTTTTAAGCCCGCTTTAAAATTAAAAAGTCATTTCATTTGCATAGAAGCTTAGGGCGACTCTTAAAATGAAAACTCCCCCCCCCCTTTTTTTTCTACTACCAAAAGTGTTTTGATAATGTATTAAAATTGAAGGGGGCAGAAAATGAAGGGTTCAAGTTATTCTTTTTTTTCTTCTCTTATCCAGTCTTTTGATGAGTTGAAATAGAAGGGATCGGAACAATGAAGGGTTTAACTTATACAATGGACTTTTCTTTAAAAATTGGTATTTTTAAGCTGACGACACACGTGCATGGAGACCACAGAGCACAGTATCTAAATGAAAGGACTGGGTGTGTTTCAATCAGGGTCATAAAAAGAATGAAAATGTCAGGATGACTTTTAATCAGAGTTATGGCTTTCACAAATTACCTTTACTTGTATGTCACGTTTTTTAAAAGGACTCCAAGGTCACTCCGACCCTCCATTTTTCGGTCCCCTTCAATTATAACTAGATCTATGCGTAACGGTGTTTCAGTGATTAATTCTGTGGGAGAATAAGCGAAATTCCATTTTTCATTTGTGTCTTTCTTTCATTCTTTCTTTCGTCCAGACTGTAAATTTTCATTATACTTTTAATTATATCGAGAGAATAAAAGGCAAATCAAACTGTGTGGGTGGTAATAACTATCGTCCTTACCTCTCCTCAGAAATGGCAAAATCTGAGGTGTGGGTGGTTGACGGGTGCTTTGGTGCAGTTTGGTCTTTCTTTCCTATCAAACATCTATCATTCTTATATAATTTTTAATATCCTTCTTTTCTTTATACATTATATTACTCTCTAGTAACATCTCTATCTTTGGAACTTATACGACCTAATTGTGTCCTTGAAAGTTCATTTGAGTGGAGGTTTTACGGCGCTCGCAACTGCATAAGGTCACATGAGCGCCAAGCTACTAGAAAGTGCCATAGAACACACAAACAAACAAACAAACAAACAACGTTTGAACACGACAAAGAGACTCAACTCACCTCTGAGGAAAAGGGAAATCATTACAGACCCTGCGGTCCACCCAAAGCTTCTCGGCGTGCAGACAACGGTCCTCTGGCACCGGCGGTTTCCCCGTTGTCTTATGAGCAATTATACGGTCTATTCGTCTCTCTCTCTCTCTCTCTCTCTCTCTCTCTCTC